GGGGGGCTCGGAATAAGCCTTCGGGAGGCTTGTTGAAGCTCCTTGTGTGCCTGTGGGTATTTCTTAGGGTCTCTTGGAATCCCGCTTCGGGGCGTTTCGAGGAGTTTCGTAATGGTCAGCATCAGCAGCAGCATCATCGTCGTCATTATCGCCAGCATCGTTGTCACACGTCATCATCATCATCATCATCATCATCATCATCATCATCATCAGCATCAGCATCATCATCATCATCATCATCATCATCAGCATTATCATCATCACCATCATCATCATCATCATCATCATTATCATCATCATTACCAGCGTCATAATCGTCATCACCATCATCATCACCATCACCATTATCATCATCAGCAGCAGCAACATCACCATCATCATCATCACCATCATCATCATCATCATCATCATCACCGTCAGCATTTCCATCATCTCCATCATCACCAGCATCACCATCTGCATTCTCAAAATAATGATTCAAAACATAGTCATGATGATCACCATCATTACCGTGGTCGTCGTGCTGTCCGCCTGATGTTCCCAGAGAGGCCTCCGGGAACATCAGGCCGGCTTCGTGGGGGGGCTCGGACGGGCCGTCGGGAGTGAAGGATTTTGGCCCCTGTGGGCCTCGTGGAAGCTCAATTATTGAGAGCCTCTTGGGGACGCGGTGGGGCCGTCTTGGAGCCATCTGGAGCTGTCTGGGGCCATCTGTAGACCATCTGGGGCCGTCCTGGCGGGCTCGAGGGCCGCCTCGAAGCCATCTTCGGCCAGCTCGGAGCCATTTTTTTCGGAGCGCAATCTTTTGGGAGGGGACGATCGTGCAAAGCCGACACATACACGATTGCTGCAACCTGATCAGTCCAATCGGCTGCGTCCCTAAGCCAGCACCCACAAGCTTGAAACTGACAGCCACCGATGAAGGAGAGGAGGAGGAGGCGGAGGAGGCGGAGGAGGAAACGACAACGGACAGTGGCGCTGTGTGTGCATCAATCCCTACATGGTGGTCCACCGACCATGTATAGAATGAGGCCTCGCACAACGACTCAAGGCAGGAACACGCACAGCGCATGCCAAGTTGAAGCTCATGCAGCGACGCGGCTTGTCGAAAACAGCCCCAATTCCTATTAAGTCAGGGGCTGACGCGGGAACGGGCAGGGAGGAGAAGTACGGGCGCGAGGGAGCAAAACAGAACACGAGAGGGAGGATAAAATAAACACGGATCAACTCACAGCAACTCGATGGAAGCGCACGGCAGGCCCGTGAGCACGCATGGCAAATCATGTTGCACTAAGTCTGGGTGCCAAGCGCGCGTCAGAATCAAGACGGAACAACATGGAATTGATGGGCCTGTTTTCCACCACCACCACCATAAGTAGGAGGGGGAGGGGGTCCTCCTCCTCCTCCTTCTCCTCTTCCTCCTCCTCATCCTCCACCTCCTTCCCCCCTCCAACTTATGGTGGTGGTGGTGGAAAACAGGCCTCTCAGGAATGAACCAAAGCGGCCACGAGAGAGCCAAATCCCGCCCAGAGCACTGTGCAAGCCTAAGGCGGACCCAAGAAAACCGGGGCGGCGGCTCACCGGGTCGGTCCGTGCCGGGCGAGGAAGCGGCCTCGGCCCGCGTGCAAGCGGTGCCAACGCACCAATCAGGAGGGACGGGAGGAGAGGAGGAGGAAGAAGGGGACCAACTGCGTGCTCGTGCCGTACGACCTGGGGCAAAACTGTGCTGACAATAGCGCCCTGCGGAGACCTAGACGGACGCCGCCTGGCGGGCCGGGAGGCGTGCGCGGGCAACGAGGTTGTCCAACAACAAAAAAACGCCCCGTAGAGAAGCGTGAAAATGGCGCGCCGGCCACTCTGTGCACAGACGGTGCGATTTACTCCCCGACGTGCGCACTCCACCGAAAACGTGGAATAACACTGGACTCGGGCAGAACGGGGAAACGGGGGCAGGAAGGGACAGGAGGGAGAACGGGGGGAGGGAAGAACGTCCCGGCCGAGCGCTGGAATCCGTGCCGTGCTCATCGATCGGCCAGAAAACCATTGCACGAGCAGTCGTCGAGGAACCAACGAGTCCAGCGTGCGCAACCCCAGTGCGCTGCGACAGTGTTGCACAAAGGCCACGGGCAGAGACGCTAACCCCCGAGGGGGGCCGCGAACCCACGGGGAAGCACAAGACCGCCCGACGACGACGGCGACGGCGACGGCGACGGCGACGACGATGATGACGGCGACGGGACGGGGGAGGGGGGGAGAGGAAGGGAGGGGGACGGGGGAGGAGGGGAGAGGAAGGGAGGAAGGGAGAGGAATCTCGGAGACATCGTGAAGGGTCTGGGGGCCCCAGTCGCCTGTCGTGTGGGCTTCTCTGTGGCTCGCCTAGGGCCGTTGTTCGACCACCTTGAAGCCTGGGAGCCCTCTCGGGAGCAAACAGGAAAGACCTTCAAATACCTATGGTTTCCTGTCGGGTTTCCAATGGTGTTGGCCTCCTGGGGGCCTCTTGAAAGCCTCCAGGGGCCGTCTTGGGACCATGTTGAGCTGTCTGGGGTCGTCTGGAGGCTGACTGGGACCTTCTTGGCGGGCTCGAGGGCCGTCTCGAAGCCATCTTCCGCCATCTCGGAGACATCTGGGAGGGTCTTGAGGGCTCCAGTCGACCGTCTTGAGATGCTTTGGGGATGATTGGGCCGAAGGGGGGCTGTTGAAGGGGGGCTGTTGAAAGGTTCTTGTGGTTGCCGAAATGGTCTGTTGGAAACCTTCCTGTGGGCTTCTTGGGAGCCTCTTGGGGCTTGTTGGTGGCGGCTCGTTGGCCTCGGGAAAGCTCTTTGGGTCATTTTGGGACGGACGGCTCGAAATGTCCGTTTGGGGTTTCCCGTTCGGCCCTCTTGTGAGGCCGTATTGGGGGTTCGTTTGCCGTCTTGGGCGTCTCGTTGGACGCTGTCGAGCACTCTTGGGCCGTTGCGGGGCCCTTTGGAGGGCGTATCGGGCCAGCCTGGGGCAAGCTGGGAGGCAACTTGTACACCGAAGGCGCTCAAGACACACAAGGTTTTTTGATGCTCTTACAAGATGTTGACTCTCTTGCTTTATCGGTCGGCAGGGCGTCCAGACGGCTCCCGAGATAATCCCAGCGCGGTTCGAAGGGTCTCCAGAAGGCCCCAAGAATTGCCCATACCAGCCCAGGAGGGGCTCCCAAATGTGCCCCAGATGACCGAAGACGACTTCTGGAGGTGCGCCAGGCGGTCCAACACACTGAACAGGGCCTCCAGGCGGGCCAAGCAGGGCCCCAGGTAGGGGTCCAGATGATTCGATGGGGGGCCTCCAGACAAAGTAGGCCTCCCTTTCGGCTCTCAAGTGGCCCACTGGTTTCTCAAGACGGCAGCTCCGGCACACGTCCAAGAGGTTCCAAGTCGGCCCAAAGACTATGCTGGCTCTTCGGGCCGTCCCTCGCCTGTCGCTCCCGTCTTACTTCCCCTCCTCCCTCGTGTTCTCGTCCTCGTTCTCTTCCTCCTCCTCCTCGTCCTCGCCTTGTCGCCGAAGCGCGCGCGCGCAATGGCTCCAGCGCAGGCCGTGCAAGGCCTCAGTCGACCGTCGTGTGGGCCTCCGTGTGGCTCCTCTATAGGGCCGTTGTTCGAACATCCTGAGGCCTCAGAAGCCTCTCGGGAGCGTAAAGGCGAAACCTTTCAAACCCTCTGGTTTCCCTCTGGGTCTGACACGGTTCTGAATGATGCTGGCCTCCCGGGGGCCTCTGGGAAGCCTCCAGGGGCCGGCCGTCTTGGGGCCATCTCGAGCTGAATGGAACCGTCTGGAGGCTAGCTGGGACCACATTGGCGGGCTCGAGGGTCGTGTCGAGGCCATCTTCGGCCGTCTCGGAGCCATCTTGGAAGGTCTTGGGGGCCCCAATCGACCGTCTTGGGCCGCTTTGGGGCTCCTCATGGGCCATTCGTGGACCATCCTGAGGCTTGACAGGCCCCTCGGAAGCGTAAAGGGCAGGTTGTTGTAAACATGTGCATATGTTGAAGCCCTGTGGAAGCTCCTTGAGAGTATCGTTGGGGCCATACTTGGCCGTCTGGGGGCCATCTTCGGCTGCTAGGGTCTGTGTAGAAGTCATCTGGAGCTGTCTTGGCGGGCTCAAGGGCGTCTCGGAGCCATCGTGAAGGGTCTTGGAGGCCCTCGTCGACCGACTTGGGCTGCTATGGGGCTCCTCGTGGGCCATTGTTGGACCATCCTGAAGCCAAAGAGGCCCCTCGGAAGCGAAAAGAAGGTTTCGCAGCAGCTGCTGCAGTGTTCGCTACTGAAGCTACTGCCGCTGCCGCTGCTGTTTCTGCTGCTGGCCGCGGCAACGGAAAGCCTCTCGGAGCCCCCAAACCCCACACGCCACGACAACACACACACACGAAACTCGAGCCCCGAACCTCGATTCTCATGGCGAGCGGGAACAAGGAAACGGCCAGGTCCGCGCTGGGCTCCGAGGGAGTTGCTGGAGTGCCACTGGGGCCGCCCGAGCACTGGCCTGACCAATCAACCGCGGAACTGCCGCCTCGACCATGCGTCCGGCACGCCACGGGGATACGAACCAGCGGCTCACCAGAGTGTTGCGTGTCATACTTGATGGGGCGAAGTACGCACCACTCAACAACCCATCACGTGGACCCTGCGTTACACCAACGTCCGTCCGCGGATAGGCCAGTACGTCCCAAAGGCAAGCGCTTGTGGTCAGGTCAGCACTCGGGCCTCCCCCGCATCACCCGAAGGGATTCGGCCGACTCGGACGCTGGCCCGACCCTCTCTCTCTCGGCGACGAAGGCTGTACAGGTCCACTGCTCCCTGGCCGGGCCCATCCTGAACCCAGCAGCGGGGCATACGCCACGCCCTCCCCGCTTGGCCAGGAGGGCGTGCACTCAGCTCCTGGGCCCAGGACGGGCCCGGCCAGGGGGCAGTGGACACGTACAGATCTCGTCGCCCAGTCTCTGCTCCCGGCGGGAGGGAGCCGCCCCGACCCCGGCGCGGGCCAGGAAGGGACGGCTGTAGCAGTAGAGACAGGCCGCCGAGACGCGCATCTGGTACGGGCACCTGCGCCCCGAGCCGCCAGGCCGACCCCCCGCCCTGTGCACATCCTGAGTCTCCTCCCCCTCCTCCTGCTCCTCCTCCTCCTCCTCCTTTTCCTGCTCCTTCTCCTCCTTCTCCTCCTCCTTCTCCCCTGAGAAACTCCCCCTCTCCTCCACCGTCTCCCCCCTCTCCCTCATCGTCGCTCTTCCACGGTCCTCCGCTCCCCTCCTCCTCCTCCTCCTCCTCCTCGTCCTCCTCCTCCTCAACTTCCTCCTCCTCCTCCTCCTGCTCCGCATCCTCCTCTCCATTCGTCACGTTAGACTGGCTGGAACCACCGCAGGGTTACAACTATCAAGTAGTAAGCAGGTGCCTTGCGCAACGTGCAACAGCTGCAGCCGCGTGCCACAGGACAAAGAGAAGGTAACATAAGAGAAGCCCAGATGGGAGTAGGTGGCGGTGCAAGCTGTATTTAAATGGGAGGGAGATCAGATGAGTAATTATGTGAGCGCATCATCCTCATCATCGATGTTCCGCCCTCCTCCTCCTCATCCTCCTCCTTACCCTTCCTCATCTTCATCTGACCATGCTCGTTCTTTACTGCTGTGCCGATCTAGCGGGCACGAAGTAACCAAGAACTCGGCCCGATTGTTCTATCGATCCGTCCTTGTCCTCCTCCTAGCATGTCCTCATCCCACCCCTTATGCTCATCCTCGTCCTCTACGCTCCCTGCTTCCGTTCCTCCTCTTTCCTCCTGTTGATTTGTCTCATGCGCCATCGCGCGTGGCCGCTTTGTCTCATGCGTCATCTCTCCCGCCGTCGTCCTCCTCCTCCTCATCCTTGCTTCTCCTCGCCCAATCCTCGCTCTCGCCTTCTTCCCTCCACTCCATCCCCTTCCCTCCCTCATCCTCCCTCTCAACCTCATTCCCTTCTCCTCCTCTCTACTCCGCCTGCCCCCCTTTTCCACCCGCCATCCCCCATGCTACAATATCCTCCTCCTGCTCTTGATGATCATCCTCCTTCCTCCTCCTTCCTCCACTTGACCCCCATCCGCATCAAAACTTCCGTCATCCCTGGGAAGAGAGGAGGAGGAGTCCCCTTCCTCCCCATCAGCATCCTGCCTCTGGAGCTTCATCGGACGCGGCCCTCGTGCCCGGGTGCCCCGCCGGATGGCCGCGAGGCCGCCCCCACCGCGTGGACTATGGGACTGCGCGCAGGAACAGGCGTCGGAGAGGGAACGAGCAGTCAGGAGCAGGAGACGGGGGCCGAGCGCAGAAGCCCGGCCCGCCAGCAAGAGAGAGAAGGGGGAGAGGGGGGGGGGGGCAGTCCCGGAAGGGGCACAAGGGGGGGGAAAGGGGTTGCCGAGGAAGGACGCGGGGGGTGAGCGAGGAGGGCTTCGAGGCATGTTTTGGGGGCGGGAGGTGGAGCCGCACGAACGTGGGGAGGGGGGAGCCTGCAGGGAAGAGGTGCAGCGATGACGGAGGCGGCGGCACGTGCTCAGGCTCTGCGTGCAGGGCGCGCCCCCTGCTCTCCTTCGGAGTTCGGAGCGGGGAGGAGCCGGCGGAGGGCCAGGATCGGGAGGAGAGGGGGAGGGGGAAGAAGGGCAGGCGGGCAAGGGGGGAGGGAAGGATGGCAGGGAGGAGGGGGCACGGGGAAGAGAGAGAGAGAGAAGAGAGAGAGAGAGAGAGAGAAAAAAAAAAAAGAGGGTGCAGGAGGGAGAGGATGGGGAAAGGGGGAGAGGAGAGAGGGGGGAATAGCGAGAGAAGGGGAAGCAGGAGAAGAAGGGGGACAAGCTGGAGGGGGCCCCTCTCCTCCGGGAGGGAAGTGGCAGCACAAAGGGGCACGTGCCCCAGATCTCCATGGTGTTGGCCATCAGCATGAAGAGCATCCACATCAGCTCGCAGGGCGCGAGGAGAAGAACGACGGCGACGACGACGAAGAAGAAGAAGAAGAAGACTAATTACAATCGAAGGCCGCGACGACGACGGCAAAGACTCGACGGCGACGACGACGGCGACCGGGAGCAGGAGCACGAGGAGGAGGAAGAGGAGGAGGAGGAGGACGACGAATGTGTGTCGGAGCCGGCGGTCGGCCACTGCGCATCGTCATGCTCTGGGCCAGGCCAGCCTTCCAGCCAGAGGATCGGAGCGGGCACTCCTCTCACGGACTCCAGGGTTCGAGCACACGCGATGCTGCAACGCACCCTCCTGTCCCAGGCTCGCTCCTCACGAATCCCTGCAAGCATTCCATTCCTCGTTCATTTGCTCCCGTCTCCTTTCCTTCCCTCATTCCCTCTCTCCTCCTGCCTCTCTCCCCCTCGACGTTTCGCTCTGCCATGCTCCCCATCGAGCAAGTTCCGGAGGCGGCTGCATCCTTCAACAACTATTCTCTCCCACGTCTCCCTGATTTACGTGACATGCACAGACTCCTGCGACTGTGCACAACCAACCACGGACGTGCACAAGC